AGGGGCCTTAAATCACAGGAAAGCCCCATTTTTTTGTGCTTCATTTTGCAAATCATGAAGTCCTGTAGGTGGATGGAATGGTCCTGTTTGCCAAACACCACAGCCAGTGTTTGTCTGCCTCTCATCCCCAATGCAAATCATGCACGGGAATTTATTTTGCAGCTTGTTTATGGGTTGTGATGCTATTACTGTATCCAGATAAAGTCACACAGTGGAAAGCAGAACAGATGCATTGTGTTGGCTTTGGAGAGGAAGCTGAATGGGGAACGTAACCCCAAGGGCACAGAACAGCAAATCCAGCCTGCAGCAAGCTGCTGCATGAATCACCCCTCAAATATTGTCCTTCTAGACACCACTGCTGTTAGTCTTTGCATTTCTGGTTGCCAGAGGCACAGAGGAAAAAAAAAAAAAAACATGGGCAGGAAGCAACATGGTTGCTTTTATTTACCTCTGCCATTAGCGTCCACCAAAATTTCTCACATTTGTATGACATTTCTCCAAGCAGCCCTCTAAGAGATGTCATTTTGTGAAGGATGCCACAGCAGAAATGCTAATTACCTTCGAGGAAGAGAGTTAAATACTGGTAATGAAGAAAGGCACGCCCAGAGAAGATGCACCAGCCCAAAACAGTGATCACTGAGTGTGGAATCCAGGGCATCCCTCTGGCTGCCCTGGAAGGTCTGGGACCCTGGCAGGGGTCAGGAAACCCCCTGGACAGAGCCCCCAGAGACACTGTCTGTGATCTCTGTCCATGGAAAAGAGTTTTCAATCTTACAGGATGAATTACAAGCTCTGAGTGTTTGATATAAGTAATAATTAAGTGTGGCATGGGTGCAAAAGTAAAACTTTAGGATTCTAAATTAGGGGTTCAGAGGGGACAAGATGGAGGAAATTGGGTGTGTCTTGTCCTTTTCCTCCTTCTTCATGCCCTCCATGTTTCACTGTGGTGTTGGCATTTTTCTGTTGGTTCAGGCTGGGGACACACTGTTCAACGTAGGTGACAGATATTGGCACGTTATTGTAAATCCAGCACAGGTAGTTTGTGGTATTTAATGTTTGTACCATCCCACTGAGGGCAGAGCCCCACACGCTGCCCTGCAGGACAGAGCTGTGGCAGGGCAGCAGAACATGTTAGAGATAAACAGAATAAACAACCTTGAAACCAGCACAGACGAATTATGACTTCTTCTTTGACTTTCTACAATCTTGGGATCATCAATACCACAGATTCTGACAACTGAGGTAACTGTGCTGCTGCTGATGTGAAAAGGAATTAGATCAAGGCTTTCTCAAATTGTTCACAGCTGAGATTAGAGGGGGAAAAAAATCACCTTCTAAGCTGCAATATCAACTTATTATCAACAGGCCTGTTCAACACCAAAAAGCTGCCACCCTCCAGCCTCCCCTCCCAGCCCCAAAGGTCAGGAAAGATTTTTGCAGGGAGGTGTTGGATGGAATCCCTGTGAGAGGAGCACCAAGCACCCACCAGCAGAGAGGAAACGGAGCTGAACTGCAGCAGCTCAAAACAGAGCCATGCTTTGGGGGAAATACATCTTGGAATGGGTAATAACTGAGTAACTCAGCTGGGAATTCTCCTGTTCCCACCCACCCAAGGCAAAAATGAGGGTTTAAAGCACAGGCCATGCCATAAACCTGGCCTTTTGAATTCTTCAGGCACACATTTTTGTTTTAAAGAGGGATAAGAAAAGGGCAGAAAATATGGCAAAGGCAAGGCACAGGCTCCAGGCATGGGGCTCCAAAGAGTTTGGGGCGTTTCAGTCTGCAGTGACACAGAGCCTTTAGCCATGTGCAGCAGGGAATGTGATTTCACTGATACAGGCAGGGTAAGATTTGGGGGTGTGGGATGAAACGAGCAGCAGGTGGGTTCAAATCAAACAAGCAGATTTCTCCCAATGCTGTGGAGTTCACTCGCTGCCTTGGTAGAAATTATCAGATTAATTTTAGAGAATTATGTGAATTTGGTGAAGAATTGATAAGAAAAGCATGAGCTTTTCCCTCTTTTATCTCGCACCTGGCCAGAGAAAGGAGTGACAACAGGATGATGTCTGGAGGGAGGCAGAGGTCCCACAGCCTGCTGTTGTTTCAGAAGGGTGGAGGAGGACCAAAGTGTTTATTTTACCTGTTGAATTCACTGTCAATGCTAACTGAAAGTAGCCAAGCCCCTCATTAATACTCATTTGCATATTAAATTCCACACCCCTGAGGAAGCAAATGGAGACACAGCATGCCTCACATGCAGACAACAAAACCCCACCTGTAACCATGATTGTTCCAACCCTTTGGCAAGGCCAAAAATTATAGTACAGAAGGAGTCTGGATAAAATTAAATATTAAGAAAAAGGGGGAAAAAGGGAAGGGATAAACAGTGCTGTTTGCTCAGGACTGTGTCTCCCCTCCTTCATTGAATATAACCGGATTTGTGGTGTTGCAAACAAACTCTTTGTGAATCGGTGGAAGTTCTTGTTGAACAGGACCAGATTTGAGAGCTGAATTGATTTTAATCAAGAATTAAACCCAGCCCTTTTAATCCCTGAGGACCAGCAGCATCACAAGAGGGTTATTTTCTGCCAAAATTCCATCCCCTCAACACAGCAAACCCACAGGACACTCGATGAGCTGGACCTCGATCCAGCACAGGGCAAAATGTGCTTCAGACTTTTCCTGTAAAATCAGAAATCCTTCAGATTTACTCTCTGCGAAGAACCCAAAAAGCAGCAGCTACCAATAGCTCACTCCTCTCCTCCTTACCCCCAAAATTTACCCTTAACAGGCTACTTGAAAGCATTCAGGCTGCATTAATAAATGAAATAATGAAACCCAAAATGGCTGTAATTAGTGGGGGATGCATTGACCAGCTAATCATCTCTGCCCCCGTTATTTTAGGATGCAAACTGAGCTTTATATAGCTTTATAAACCTCTGTACAACTAATTGAGGTAATTAACATCTTGTCCCTCTTTTTACACAGGCAATTATAAGCCACCATCATATCTATGATGAGAAACAAGGGAGAGGATGGGGATTTTTCATATCAAATGTAAAAAAAAAGGGGGGGAAATATTTCCAATACAAATAAATTCACATCTTTTCAGAAAAGTGGGAGGGAAAGACACTAAACTGTTTTTTTTTTTTTTTTTCTCATCCTTTGCAGGTTATCTTTGAAAAGTGTGAGGGAAAGACACGAAACTGGTTTTTTTTTTCCTCATCCTTTGCAGGTTGTCTTTAAAAAGTGGATGGTTTAGTGATTTGCTAACAAGAGCTAAAGACTGGATATAATTTTGGATTTTTAACCATTAATCTTTTTCCCTAAAAATGGCATTTTAATTGGTTGTGACAGTAAATTGAAGAGCCTGGAATTAGGGAGCTGTCTCCAGGGCCTCCAAAATTGGAGGATTTTATTTTCCTTCCTTGAGGATTTTGGTTTTTTTCTTCAGCAGGTGTTTTACAAGACAACAAATCTGTCCATCTGTTGGAGCTTGAAAATCTAGTGGAGCTGGGGGGAAAGGAACAGCAAAAGGGTATTATTTTTCTTATTTTTACCTTTATTTATAGGGCTTGTTTGGCTTTCTACACTAAAGCAAGCTTAGACCTGAGGGTTGTCTTGAACTGAAAGGAGCATTGCCCTTAATATTAAATTCAATGCTGCCCAGTGTGCTGGAAAGGGGAAAGATTTCCACATTTTTATTAAAAAATGAAGGTCAGCCTGGTCTTAAGCTGTTCTTCCAATCTGAGAAATCCAGAAATTTCATGTCAGTGACCCACAACATGGAATTGTTCTGCCTTTTTCTGGGGAAAATATACATACAGATCACCGAATTGGTATTTTTTGCCCATTTAACCTCTTCTTACCAAGCAGTTATTTCAGAGGAGGCCAAATGCTTAAATCAATCATTCCTTTCCCTTCTCAGCAGTGCTGGGTCACATCCCCAAAAGAGGAAAGGAAAGGAAAGGAAAGGAAAGGAAAGGAAAGGAAAGGAAAGGAAAGGAAAGGAAAGGAAAGGAAAGGAAAGGAAAGGAAAGGAAAGGAAAGGAAAGGAAAGGAAAGGAAAGGAAAGGAAAGGAAAGGAAAGGAAAGGAAAGGAAAGGAAAGGAAAGGAAAGGAAAGGAAAGGAAAGGAAAGGAAAGGAAAGGAAAGGAAAGGAAAGGAAAGGGGGGGGAAGGAAAGGGGGGGGAAGGAAAGGGGGGGAAGGAAAGGGGGGGAAGGAAAGGGGGGGAAGGAAAGGGGGGGGAAGGAAAGGGGGGGAAGGAAAGGGGGGGGAAGGAAAGGGGGGGGAAGGAAAGGGGGGGGAAGGAAAGGGGGGGGAAGGAAGGGGGGGGGAGGGAAGGGGGGGGGAGGGAAGGGGGGGGGAAGGAAAGGGGGGGGAAGGAAAGGGGGGGGAAGGAAAGGGGGGGGAAGGAAAGGGGGGGGGGGAGGAAAGGGGGGGGGAGGAAAGGGGGGGGAGGAAAGGGGGGGAAGGGAAGGGGGGGAAAGGGGAAACGGGAAAGGGAATGGAGTAAATAGGGGGAAATAAAAAGAAGGGGGAAATGGGGAAGAAAAAGAAAAAAAGGGGACAGAAGGGCAGAAAGAAAAAGATGGAAAGGGAGATAAAGTAAAAAGGGAAGAGAGAGGAAAGGGAGAAATAATGAAAAGGAAATGTGGGAAATCGGAGAGAAAGGGGGAAGAGAGGATGAAGAGAGGAAAAAAGAAGAAAGGAAAAAAAGAAGTGAGGGATAAAAGTAAGGACAGAATGGAAAAGGGTAAAAGTGAAAAAAATGAAAAAGTGGGAGGAGGGGGACAAGAAGGGAAACAGGAACGAAATGAAGAAGAAAGGAAGGGCAAGAAGAAAAAACGGGAGAAAGAAGAGTGGAAAAAAAGGCGAAAGAGAAAATGAATAAAGGTCAGAAAAAAGTCGGGTGACAAAGACGGGGAAGGAGCCGGGGCAGCGCCGCTCGTACCTGGGGCGGGCGGGGGCGGTGCCGGGGGCGGTGCGGGCTGCGGGGCTCGGAGCCGCTGCTGCTTCCTCCTCCTCCTGCTGTGCCTCCTCCTCCTCCTCCTCCCGCAGCCGCTGGATGCCGGAGCGGCTCGGGGGCTCCGGGATGCGGGGCCGGGCCGGGATGCGGGGCTCGGCGCTGCGCGGGGCCGTGCCGCTGCTGGGCTGCCTGCTGGCCGCGGTGAGTGACCGCCGCAGCCTCGGGCAAACTTCGGGCAACTTTGGGAGGCTCCGCTCCTTTCCCGCTGCGCTGGGGATTGAGAGCGCTCGCCTCGCCTTTAGGTTCAGGTGCGCGGCCCTTTTGGGGGTGAGAGGATCCCTTTGAGCAGCCGGGATTCCCTTTCGGGAGTTGCGCGGGTTGTTTCTCCTGGTTTCGGTGGTATTCGGGTTTGCTGGCTGGCGGTTCGCTTTGGGGTTTGTTCAGGAGCTCGGTGGGTCCTTGCAGAGCTCGCCCCTAAGCTGGGGATAACGGGATGAGGATGGGGATGGGATGGGGCTCTGGGGTGGGCTCTTCCTGCATCTATCCATGATAAGTTGGGCAAAGCGCCGCGTTCCGCCGCTCCAGAGCCCAGCCGGAGCGGGGGATGTGTCCGGGCTGCCGTGTCCGAGCTGCCGTGTCCCCTCTCGGTGTGATGTCCCCGGGCTGCCGTGTCCGGGCTGCCGTGTCCCCCTTTGGGTGTGATGTGTCCCCCTCTCGGTGTGATGTGTCCGGGCTGCCGTGTCCGAGCTGCCGTGTCCCTCTTTGGGTGTGATGTGTCCCTGCTGGGTGTGATGTCCCCGGGCTGCCGTGTCCCCCTCTGGGTGTGATGTCCCCGGTTTGCCGCGTCCCCCTCTCGGTGTGATGTCCCCGGGCTGCCGTGTCCCCCTCTGGGTGTGATGTGTCCGGGCTGCCGTGTCCCCTCTGGGTGTGATGTGTCCGAGCCCCGTGTCCCCTCTGGGTGTGATGTCCCCGCGGTCGGGTCCGTGATGCATCCCCCCACTAATTACAGCCACTTTGGGTTTCATGATTTCATTTATTAACGCAGCCTGAATGCTTTCAAGCCGCCTGTTACGGGTGAATTTTGGGGGGAAGGAGGAGGGGAGCGAGGTTTGTTTCTCCTGGAGCTGTGTGTGCCCTGCACAGTGCGAGCAGAGCTGATGCTCTGTGCCAGCAGGCACAGGGCACGGCTTCCACACGCTTATCTGAGCTCCCAGCCCAGGGAAAGGCGTCCCTGCCCACGGCACGGGATGGAACTGGAGCATCTCCAAGCTCCCTTCCAACCCAGACCATTCAGGGAGTCTGCAGTTCTCTGATTTCGCTGGAGCTTTGCTCTCTCAGCTCGTTTCCTCACAGGGTTGGATTTAGAGCGAGACTGGTTTTAATTCAGCAGCCTGGGGTTGGGGGGAGATTTGGTGCTGGCTGTGGCTGAGTTTCCCTCTCACTTGTAACCTGCTCCCACGGCTGTTTTCCCTCTGGAAGGTGAGGCATCCTGTAGGGCTGGGTGAGGTTGCCCCACCAGAATTGGGTTGTGCCAACCCAAGTCACCTGTGTTTGCTCTGCTGGGCTGGTGCCAGTGGCTGTGGGCACAGAACCATCACAGAATTGTAGAATGGTTGGAAATAAATAGCATCTAATTCCAAAGCCCCTCTGGACGGGATAGCTTTCAGTAGACCAGTTGCTCAGAGCATCATCCAGCCTTGTCTTAAAGCAGAGTCAGACCAAGCAGGCTGAGCCTCAGAGAGTGGAAGTTAACCCAGATGTGTCAGTGCATCACTTGTCTCCCCTTTCTTCTCCCCGCCCTTGTCCCACAAGGAATGAAACAAATGGATTTAATTGTAATTTTTGGTATGAAACAAATGGATTTAATTGTAATTTTTTTTGGCTGCCACCATGAGCCACTCACCCATCTACATTGCCAAAGACTTTCTTAGAGCTTGAACAGGTTGGGGAAATTTATTAAAGTACTAAAAAAAAAAAGGACCAGGCAAACAGTTCTTGGAATTCTACAGAGCTTGCTTTAGGGAAGATCCAAAATAGCCCAAATGTCCAGGGCTGGAGCTGGGGAAAGGAGAAGGGGGCAGCGTTCTCATCAGCTGCTGGAGTTGCTCCAACTATTGCTTCCACTGAAGCCCTTGGCAAAATTCCTATTTCTTTAAAGATTGTTGGCATGAGGGGATCCTCTGGGGTCGGATCCTGCAGAGGGTGAGGTCACAGGGCTGCTGAAGTTCACCCTGGAAGGATCTTGGGGTAGTAAGTGATGCTCTTGGGTTGCCACCAAAAAGCACAAACCCCTAAAGCTTTGGGGCAGCACAAGACTGGGTGCAATCCTCTAACTGCTTCTTTTCCAACCCTTTTATTATTCTGTTGTTGTTGTTAATGTTCCTGGGATCTGGTTCACGCTGGTGAGTTAAAAAGATTCACATGCTCCTTATCAGCACTGATCTGCAAGGTGACTAATACTGAACTGCCTCAGCTGCTGGAGAAAATCCCTGGTTTGTTTCTCAGCTTAAACCTGGGATTTGGTGCTGATCTTTAAAGCAAAAGTATCTCTGCAGTCATAACCCGACTCTGGGACCAGTGATGGCTCAGCAGATCTTGGTTGGTTTGGGTTTATTTTGTTTAATTTCTCGTGATAATTTTTATTGGTACGTCCTTGAGGAAAAAAACTCTGAACAAGTGGCTGATCAACAAGTTCAGCACCATAAAACTCCTGCAGCCATGTGGTTTCTAATTGCTGTTATAAACCTTCACCTCTCATCCTGCACACTGTGGGGAAGAGGGAATTGGGCAGATATCATTTGCTGAGGTCATCAGGCCATGCTCACCAAAGTCCTGCCCTCCTGCCAGGGGCAGCTTGGAAAAGTTAGAATAAAAGTGTTAAAGGTGGCTGTGTAAATGCACAATAATCCCTTTTAGGTTCTTCTGTGTTGGTTTTCGGGGTGTAATTAAAATAATTTGGCCTGAAGAGCTACAAATTAGACATTTTTTTTTTCCCAGTGTGTATCTAGAACATGAGATATGGATAATTTGAAGCAGTTGGTGGATTCCACGTGCCTTCAGACTTCAAGCTCCTTAAATTAGCCAAATCTGCCCAGCTGGTGTAATTTGTGCTTTTCTTCAGAGCTTTGCTCTGTTCCAGCCTTGAAGTAGGTTTGTGATGGAAAATAATAAAACAGCTCAGATCTGATTCTTCATCAGTCGGAGTGCAAATGCTGGAGATGTGATCAGGGTAGAAAATCAGTGAAATCTGAGCTTTCCACAAATCAGGACAACCACTTCAGCTCTGTCTGTACCTCTTTCCTCCTGTCATTGATTGAGAATCTGTGAAGTGACATAAATATACTTTAAACAAAACAACCACTGGTTTTGGCCGAAAGACAAAGTTCTCACTGGAATCCTCCAGGCCAGTTCCTGCACCCAGCACAAAGATCCTTTAAATAACAGCATGTGTTTAACAAAGGCCTTGCCACAAATCCTGAGTGTGTGGCTGGGTGTATGATTTATTCCATTTCTGCTTGTATAAATGCATGACTGATTTTATTCAGGAGAACCAGTTGCCCAACCTTGTGTCTGGGTAGCTCTGAAAGCCTCTCTATAAAGTTTTCAGAGAGGACACATAATCAGCAATAATAACATTGTGAGAGCTTTTACTTAGGGCATAAAAAGGCAAAATTGTAAAATAGTGGAGGGGAGCAGCATCTGAGGAGAAAAACGTGTTAGGGGAAATACTTAAAGCTGTTTCAAGCTGTGTTTTATTCACCAGCACGTCAGCAGGGGCATTCACATCATCATTATCACATTCCCCGCAGCCCAGGGGTTTGTTTCCAGCAGGGAAACTCCGGACAACCAGCTGGGAATTGGGATGGGCTGTAAAAGCAGACGAGTCCACCAGGGTGGTATTTAAAAAAGGGATTTTTACCACACACTCAGCAGCAGGAGGCAGGTGGGACCATGGACAGGGAAAGCTGCCTGGGTTGTGAATTTTGGGTGTGGAGGTGCATTTTCCCCATTTTTACAGCACTAAAAACCCTCTGGTCCCAACCCTCATTTTCAGTGTCTCAGAGTGACTTTGTGGAGTTTTTTTCCTTGTGTTTTTTTTGTCTCTCACACTTGGCTTTCCAAGAAGGGATTGGGGCAGTCGGGGGATGCTCTGCACTTTTGGCAAATGGGCAAGTGGAGAATGAGTGAGTGAGTGAATGGTGGGACAGTGTCAGGAGAGAGGTGTTTCAGCTGAGAGGCTGCCTTAGAAATGGCAAACATGCAGAGTTTATATTCATTTTCAGGGGTAAAAAATAAATAAATAAAAAAAATAGAGAAGTTTTGCCTTTACCAAATGGTCTCCAGCAGAAACAACTGGAGAAGACTGGTGGCTTGTCAAAATCAATCTTCCACATGATATGCTGATAGTCTGGGAGGACTGGGAATTTTCTGCTGTTTGGGCTGGGAGGACTGGGAATTTTCTGCTGTTTGGGCTAGAATGTAGACACAAATCTTTTGGGACAGAGGGAGATCTCCCTGTTCATCAAGTGTCCCATTTATTGGCAGCCTGAGGAAAGGCACCAGACACTGGAGATCAACAAGACCTGGGATTTGATGATCTTTTTTAAGCCAGACCCGAGTGCCCTTGGAGGAGATTTGTCACACCCTGAGTGGCTGAAATTCAGGAAAGGGCTCAGATGATCTGTGCAGAATAAAAACTCTCAGTCAGGCTTTGGTGGGGAGCAGGATTCAGCTGGGTTTTAGGAACGCAGGAGGTCACACCCTGCCCTCAAACCAGGTCAGCACCAGCGTGGCAGTGTCACTTTTGTGCTGCTGTCACATCCCCTGCTGCATCACTCTGCCTCAGGGGATGTGGATTTGTGCTTTTCCAAAGCCTGGGAAAGGCTGTGGGATTAAATATAGCCCCACTCCCTGCTCTCATCAACTTTCTCTCTTCTGTGTTGGAAAGAAGAGGAAAGAGCTTTGCAAGAATCAAAATCCAGGAAATGCAGCCAAGAAAAAAAAACCAAGTCAGGGGCCAAAAGCACAGGCAAAAGGAGCTGGAGGTGCTGGAGAGCCCAGAGCAGGAGGGGCTGGAGCTGTGACCCAGCAGGATGGACAGACACACAGACACACATGGCAGGGCTTTGTCCTCCTGTGCTGGTTTCCCTCTGTGGCTGGAGTGCAGCTCCTCCACACTCCCAGATGTTCTCCAGAAGTCA